AGAGAACTTGGCTGCCTCGGAGGAGGAGAACCCGCAGGAGTTGACGAGGTATTCCACCATGAAGTGTGGATCTGGTGATATGGTGCCGCCTACGGCGGCGGCAGCGTTGACAGAGGAGGAGAAGAAGAGGATATCTCGAAGGCGGCAGGTTTCGAACAAGGGCAGAAGGCTATTGCGGCGGAGTGCGGAGCGGAACGTCGCAGCCGCCATTGTGGGACAAAGGAGAGCAACCGCAGAGGCACCCTAATTCTTCCTACCCTCCTTATATGTTGTGAGTATAACCTTCGTTTTGCACAAGAAATACAAAATTATAGGAATCAATTATTTATATAAAAAATATAGTTAAATTGATCTACAAAATACTAATTTGACCGTTTCATTTGTAATCAAATCTTTCAGTATAATTTTTTAAATTTTCTTGTGAATAAAATTTTATAAAGTAAATATTTAATATTTTAGATTAAATGATATTATTTTTATCGATAAATTAAAATAAATTATAGAAATATAATTACCTTAAAGAGCTCATCTCTTTTTATTCAAGGGGAGGATTCCTCTTCTTCATTTTTCATAGCATGAGAAACAAAAAGTTATATATATTTTTTTGTTCTCTTATTTTTTTTTAAATATAAATATTTGTTTTTTATCTTTAAATATTTAAAATTTTATTGTTAGATTAAAATATATTATAATTATACATGCTATATATAGTTTTTATTTTTTTTATTCCTTTAAGTATTTAAAATTTTGTTTTTAATTATGATATATTATAGTTATTCAGGCTATTATGATTTTTATTTTTATTTTATCTTGAATGCTAGTTATAATAGCCTATTAATATTAAATTTATATAATAGTTGACTGAAAATATTATTTCCTCTCTTATACAATTTTAACTTTTTTATTTATTATTATTTATTATATTTTAATGAATAATGTTAATGATTAGATGTTTTGATTATAATTTCATGATGTTATAATTTAAAATTAAAGAAATTTATGAAAATTTAAGTTGAAATTAATCAACAAGTCATGCTCAACCCACAGACTAAGCCATAACTAGTAGGTTAGGCTCAACTGATTAGTTGAGCCTAACTGATTAGTCTTTGGGTTATTGGCTATGGGATGACATAGCTTAATATAACAAACATATGCATTGCATATGATTTCGGCTGACCCAATCTAACTTAGTGCTATATAATTTAGCCTATTATCCTTATCTTTTTTTATTTGGATTTAAGAATTAATTGAACCTAATATGATTTAATCAATTTATTGATTTGATTTATTTAAGTTTATTTAATTTAATTTAAACTTAATCTAATATAAATTATAATAGTTTAGGTAAGTTAGATCATTTAAATAAGAATTACGATCGATTTAGTTATGTTATAGTTAAATCGAGTTCAATTGGTCCAATTGAATTCAAACCAGTTGAGAACTAATTGATATTATTTGATATTAATGATGTTAAAAAGATAAATTAAGATGTTTCATTATATTGTATTATTTCATCTCGATATGCATATGACCAATATGAGATGATTTGATTTTTCTATTATATTAGTCAAGAATAATTATAGATCACTTCTATAAAATTTGGAGGTTGGTTATGTTGGATTCTAATTGAATTAAGTTTGCTTGAAGTCAATTGGGTTATGCTAATTAATGTTCTTGTTAATGAAGACTATTAATATATTGATTTGATTAACTTAAAAATTTTATTTTAAGATGTCACTTGGAAATGATCGTTAGTTTTAATTAAATTGATGATATTAATGTGATTGTTATTATAGTATAGGTAAAGTGGTCCACATTGGAAGTACGACCTATGAAAGAAGCTATCGATTTATTATAATACATGGTCGATAATGAATATAGTATGATAAGTAATACATGAATCATGAATCTTTATAATATTTTATTATATTATTTTTTGAATGTATTACATAAATGGATGATTGTGTTTAACTATGTATCTTTACCGAGATCAAGTAAAGTGATTCCTTCAAGGATTAACAAGTCATCAAACTTGATAATTAGATGGTTCTCCCATCTATTGTTAGAAGAAATATGTCTCCACTTGGATAGATAATGGATACTGCTTCATCCGTCGTATGGAGAGTAACATAAGTTCTCTCTATCCCGTTGTTGAGAGAAATCAATATTGTGAGATATGTTCCTCCATCCGTTGTTGAGAGAAATCAATCTCATGAGATATGTTCCTTCATCAATCGTTGGGAGTGTATATCATCGGGTATAATCTGCGCTTTTATTACCTGACTATTATGTATGTATTATATGTGAATGATGCATAATTTTATTTACTATATAGAAATTATCATTATTTTTTTAATACATAAGTTTAATAATAGATAGATATATTATCATTTTATATTAAATCATTAATATTTGTATGTGTTTCATGAATATTTAAAAAAAAATTATAATTTTTTAAAAATCGACCATAATTGGTGATTTTTTTTAACTTATATTTATTTATAGTATAACATACTACTTCGTAATACATATCGATGGAAGAGATTTCCTTATCACCTTTGACCTTACTAAAAAGATATGATTTTTTTAATTAAAAAATATTTAGTATTGTAAAGATAACGATCAAAGTCTAAAGATTAACAAAAAAATCTTATATAAATTTTAAATAAACAAATAATGTTTTTCTTTAAATTTGGGATGTGATAGACTTTATCCTTGTAATTCTCATTGTTATTAAGTTTATGTTTATCTTGTTTCTTGACTTTTAAAATTAACCATACTGTTGGCGTATCGATGCTCCTTAAAGCTTAAGGTAAATTGCTGGTGTGGAGAATTGAGAAATATATAATTTGTTGTATAATCTGACTTATCTTTTTGTGTTATGGAAGGCTAAGAACCGACGAGGAGCTTGTGATGATGTTGTGAATGTTGATGAGACTAGTGTGGATGTTAATTTGAGAAACCTATTCGGGAAAAAGAAGGAATTCAAGGAGAAAGTTGACGATAGATTTTTCAAGATCCTGATGGTTTCTCAGTTTGAGAGCAACGTAGCAACACTGACTCCTTGCACTTCTCCTTATTCACTGTCAGTTTTCTTTTATGACCCAATATGACATTCTCATGTGAATGGTTTGTCAAATAAAAATTTCTATGCAAGCAAATTGTGAGTGAGATTGTAAGAGCATATATTACTCTCCACACCTCAAAACAGTCTGATAATAGAGTGTGTTATATAATTACAGCAATTGTATGAAATGAACCTTTCATAGATATAGTAGTGATTTTTTTCTCAGAAAATATTGTTTCATAGAATTTTTCTGAGTTGGGAGTTACTCAAATTATTAGTCATTCGTTATGCATGAGAAATAAAAATTATAGTAATAAATTATTTAGATAAAAATTATGGTCTACAAAATATTTATATAATTTTGTCTCTTTATAACAAATACCTGATTTCTTTAAAAAGTCATTTTATTATTATTATTTACACATTAAAATATAAAATAATTCATTAATTGGATCCAAAATAATGTATTGGTTGCACAATGGAATGGTTAGGCAGAAAAGAAAGCTAGCTGAGAATGGGTCAAGAAAGTGTGAAATACTATTGATGTAAATATACATAAACTCTACAACAAGAACTAAAGGCAATTACAGAATCTGGAAATACACATTTAATTGTCACTTTAAAAACCTTTTGAGCATGCATGCTAAGTTTTTTTTCTATTAATGAAAAAAAGGAGAAATTTCATTAAAGGTTAAAGTGGATTAAGCAACACTTATCCATCATTAGAAGAGGAAAAAAAACAGAAGAGAATTTACAATTCCCCCAAAATTGACTAGCTGACGAGCCACGTCATTCATGACGCCAGGAAACATAGACCACATCGACAACATAAAGACTTGAACAGAGAGATGAGATGTCATCCAAAATATTCTTAAGGAACCAGCGAATCATCGCAATTCTCTTAGCCTTCCGAAGGCTTTCAGGTAGAACAGAAGCTTCAGCCATGATACAAAGGGTGGATGAGAAGTTGCATCCACCGAATCCAACAATGAACTCCAAGAATGAAGAGATCTGCTGCTCGAATCACAAAGGGCGGATGAGCAGAAGCCTAAGGAGGCATGTAAGAGTTTGTTGATGCGGGAAAGGGCGGATTAGCAATTCCAAAGGAGGCTGAAGACATTTCAGGAGAGCATACTCAAGTTTTGATGCTCAGAGAAAAGTCCATACAACCTGCAAGCAAAGTTGATAATAAAGTTGGTGACTCCTGATCAACCCAATGCAACTGATCTTACAAATTTCATTGAAGCCATTGCATACTAATATTACAAAGCATAAATCAAATTTAAATATTCCAATTAGCACACAAATAAATAATTTTGCAAAGAAGCCTCCACTGACAAGTGAACACGTTCTTAGATATATATCCAAATCCATAAATCGGGTGATGACTCATTTAAAAATAAATTACAGAAACAACTTTTTGGAGTTTTTAAGTTTTTTTTCAGCCACTCAAATCGTTAAGAGCAACTACTACTCAGCAACTTCTTGTGATCTTCGGTGATATTTTGTATATACTGCATAACTTGATCTGAATTATGAATCTTTGAGACTTACCCAACAACCAAAAACCCATCGGGAATTGGAATTAATTTGGACAAAATCCAAAAGTCCCTACATTAGATCCGAAGGTCATCTCAGTTGGGACTGTTAAGTAGAATTTTTAAAACATGCAGTTTACGTACAAACAAAGAATCCTATGCCAAAGACAATCAGAAAATAGTTTAAGCTAACAATCAGTAAGACAGAACAAATTTGATTTATAATCAATGCTAATCAATCAAGCTTGTCACAAAAGAAATATCCCACACCTCAATACACCTTTAGATAAGCTCTTTGCATAAAATTTCCAAAATCTCAAATTAGGGGAATAATCTACCTTCGTCGTTGGCAAATTAGACCATCAGCTAAGCCCTTTCTCATCCTCCGATGCCAAATGAAAGGTATCATTGCCTTTACAGGTGCCAGCAGCTCTCAAAATATCAAGCAGCTCAGGAACATTTTCTTTGTGAGGGAGAACAAACTTCTCCATGAATTTGGTATCTGAGAATACGATAATCGTTGTAAACTTGCCTTGTCCAGTCCACAATCCTTTCGATTTCAACATCTCCGTCACATGAAACCGAGGAATGACCCTCTTCTGCAGACTATATAGCAAGATAGTTGGTTGGGAGGCGATGAAGGAAGGGGTGTACCCGACTACATTGATAAAAAATTCCATTTTTCTGCGCATCATATCGAGGGACATGCATAAGAAGGTGGGTACTTTCCTGACTACGGAAGAAAACTCCGACTCCGACCACCCGAAGCTCCTCATGAGCTCGGCCTTGGCCTCGAACGTTTCTTTGCTTAACATTTGGAGAACAACAAGTGTCCACACGAACATCCGAGATAGCCGTGGCGTCCCCAGCTCATCGGCTCTCGCCACCAAAGCTCGGAGTGACTCTGGTTTCTGTAAGATTAATTGTGGGTGACTTCTCAAGACGAGAGAGAGCCTTTCTTCAGGAATGCCGCACTCATCCCTCAAGAACTTTAGGTTAGGATGCAATGTCTTCTCAACGCTGGAGAAGAAAAACCGTCCTGTCTTCCTGAGATGCTTGAGAACGAGCTCTCTCGATCCCAAGAGACTTTCCCATATCTCCAATTTGGGGCCGAAGGAACGGTGAACGTTGAGGAGGAGGATGGCATGGTTCATCAGGATGACATCGACGATATCCGACTCCGATAGGCCCAAATAGCGTAAGAACTGAAACTTCGGGGCGAGGTTCGTCTCCACGTTGAAGCATAGGTAATTGGGTTTCATAGATATCACCTTCCTAATAGCGGCGCCATCGAAGCCCTGAGATCTCATGAAGTTAAGGACGGAGTCGGGTTTCTCGGTGGATCGGAGGTGCGCGAGGGGTTTAGAGAACATGGCTGCCTCGGAGGGGGAGAACCCGCAGGAGTTCACGAGGTATTCCACCATGAAGTGGGGATCTGGAGATATGGTGCCGCCTACGGCGGCGGCAGAGCCGGCAGAGGAGGAGAAGAAGTGGAGATCTCGAAGGCGGCAGGTTTCGAACAAGGGCAGAAGGCTATTGCGTCGGAGCCCGGTGCGTAGCCTCGCAGCCGCCATTATGGGACAAAAGAGAGCGGCCGCAGCGGCACCCTAATCACTACAACCGTCCTTATAGGTAGTGTGTATAACCTTCGCTATGCACAAGAAATACAAAAATTATAGGAATAAATTATCTATATAAAAAATATGGATAAAATGACCTTAAGATACTAATTTGACCGTTTCATCTGTACTCACATCTTTCAGTTGAAGTATAATTATTTACTTTCTTTTCTTATGAATAAAATTTATAAAATAAATATTCAATATTTTTAAATTAAGTGATATTATTTTTATCAATTAATTAAATAAATATAAATATTAAAAAATTTATTACCTTGGAAGGCTAACCTCTTCTTAGGGTGATTCATTTCTTTCATTTTTCATTAGGTCAAATCTGAATATCGTTTTTCACTATGTCAAATCTGAATAAGAGGGGTAGACGCAAGTATATTTTTTTTAAACAAATATTTTTTTATATCTTTAAGTGTTTAAAATTTTATTTTTTTTGATTAAAATATATTATAATTATTCATACTATATATAGTTTCTAATATTTTCTTCTATTCATTCAAGTTCTTAAAATTTTATTTTTTTATTAAAATATTTTATAATTATTCATGCTATATATAATTTCTAAAATTTTTTTATATTCCTCCAAATATTTAAATTTTATTTTTGAATTATAATATATTATAATTATTCATACTATAATAATTTTTAAAGTTTTTGTCTTCCATCCATCATACTAGTTATAATATTCAATTTCTATTAGATTTGTATAATAGTTGAGGAAAAATATTATTTTCCCTTCAATGTAATTTTATATTTTTAATTTATTATTATTTATTATGTTTAATGACCCAATAATAATAGTTAAGTGTTTTGATTATAATTTCGTGATGCTATAATTTAAAATTTAAAAAATAATTAATATTTAGGTTAAAATCTGCTTAACAAATCAAGCTCTATCCATAGGCTAAACCACAACCAGTATATTAGACTCAACCAACTGATTAAGCCAACTAATCGTTCAATCCAATCCTGGATAATCATGTGTCATACACATCATATTACTTTGGCACCATAAGCTAACATAACTTTGGTACGATGCATGTATAATTATTTATAATGCTATATTGCCTAGCTTAACGTATCATATTACTATATAGTTTAACTTATTATCTTTATTTTATTTCATTTATGTTCGATTGAGGTAAATCTAATTTGATAAATTTAAATCGATTGAAGGTAATTATGAACCAACTTGATTTATTTAAATATATTTAATATAAATTAAACTTAATTTAATCTAAATTATATTAGTCTAAGATAATTTAGATCGATTAAATGAGAATTAGAAATCAATTCAATTAGGTTATAATTAAATCTAGTTCAATTAGATCGACTAATCGATATTATTTGATATTAATGATATTTAAAAGATAAATTAAAATATTTTAATATGTTATTTTTATCTCGATATAAAAATAATCCGTATAAAATGACATAATTTTGCTACCGATCGAGATCCTCAAACAAGAAAGGAAAGATTGCCTACCGATCGAGATCATGAATTATATAATATTTTAATTACATTTTGATTGTACATCCAAGCTATATATCTGAGTCACAACATCCGTTAAATTATAGCAGGCCACATTTCAATCTGGAGACATCAATCCATAAATGCCAACATCGTGATCATCTATCATATCCTTTGTTTGTAAACACGGATTTTGTGGTATCTTCACATTGCATTGGTTCATTAACATGACATAAGTGCATAATTTTGTTTGGATTACTTGACTTTTTTAAATTCACGAATTCTATTTTCTCTCTCTTTCTTCCATATATTTATTTCATTAATGTCTGTCTTATAAAAAATGAGACTTTATGTGCGTTGACATAACGATTTCCAACGTTATTATTCAAGTCATAAAGAAAAGAAAAAAATTTGTGCATCTTCCCAATATATTCTTGATGAACTTGGAAGATCAGTTCTACTACTGCAAAGATGGAACAACTGATATCAAAATTCAACACACATTTCACGCATTGATAAAGATGATTGATAATCTTATCATCATATATGTGATAATAAAGACATGCATGAAGGCATGGATGGGCAGACGAAAAAAAAAATATACTAGTTGAGAATGGGTCAAGATAGTGTGCATAAATCTGAAATACTAGTGATGGAAATGATCATAAACTCTACAACAAGAACTAAAGGCAATTACAGAATCTTGAAATACACATATAATTGTCACTTATAAGCCTTTGGAGTTTACATGTTAGTTTGGACGTTAGACTTTGCATGAAGACTTAGTTTTTCTTACACATAGTAGCTTCTTGATGGTTTTAAAGTGGTCTGTTCTTCAACATGAAAGGAATGAGGTTGACTTCCTCCCAATTCCTAATGTAATAATTATTTCCAAAATGATAGGCAGGAACACTTTAAAGTCCACAAATCTGACCTTTAAGAGGCAATTAATCCATCTGAGATGGATGCAAAACTTCATGAAGGGGCACCAAAATCCAATCTTTTATAATAATAATTATTATTATTAATCCAACAATCCAGTTAATCTTGGAGCTTATGATATGGAGATAAATGCTCATACTTTAACTTTATATATACACACACACACAATATCCTTTTACACATATAAAGTTAAATAGTTAACCACAATCATCATTGATGACAAAAAAAAAAAGTTTGTATAATGATGAGGAATTAACATAAAATAAATTTCATATGTGACTTAATCCATGAGAGGGACTCATTTACTAATTCCTTTTATCTCTCATAGGCTCAAATCCTTGTTGTTTCACTTAATTTATTTCTTTCATCCTATCTTCTCTCACTTATGATTAGGCTAACATGTAATATCCACCAACAAAATTCACAATTGCCTCAACCACGTTATCTTAATATAAATATTATCATTGTGTTTAGCTCCCAACTGCACCATGGCACAAAGGCATTGCACTCACAACAAGCCTTTTGCTATATCAACTGAGACCCAAAGTATAAGTACATTTATGTAACATCTAAGCATCCATTCCTGGTAAGCCATTAAGCACCTCTGTTGCCTTCAACATACCGCACACCTTTCAATTGTAAATCCCACAGGTACTACATAGGCAAACATGCTTGGAAGAACATAGGCTAACCACTCTAAACAACAGTGGGGAAAGTAGCAGGCAACATAAAAAATCAAATTAAATAATTGGCAAAATTCTCATCATTTTACATCATCATCTATAGAATGTTATTTTGGTGTTCTCAGTACCTGCTGCATTCTTCATAGAAAAGGAGTGAAATGAATCAACAGAACATGAGGTTGGATTCACCACCAAAAACTTGAAAAATGCTTATGACCATTGCAAAGATGTAAGACAATATTAAAATGCACAAGTTTACCTTCCATTGCATAATATTGCTACACATAACAGTAACACCTCAAAAACTGCCAATCTAAGGGAGAGAAACAATTAGTTTTTGATTAAAAATATCACAGGGAACAATCATGCTTTAGTGAAAGATAATTAGCAAATCAAAATTTAAGCCGAGAATGCTATTGCAATGTCCTTCTTACTTAATGCTAATAACAATCAATAGTTAAACGATTACGCAAAAGCTTCAGCTTGAATACTCTCCATGACATCGAAGAATTCTTACGACCATTGGAAGATATGTTTAACTTCCAATCTATATTATGCTTACACAGTTATGCAATGATAACAGATACATAGCTTCAATTAGAAGAAAGAAGAAAATGGAGCAGACTTGATGAAGAATTCCCTGAGGAGAAATCTATAACAATTTAAGAAAGTAAGATATAGGGTTTAGTGTATGCACAAAAATGGGCTGCTTACGGGTCCATAATGGGTTCGATTGGGCGCAAATATTGAGGAAGCCTACTCAATGTGAAAGCCCAATTTAGGCCCATTATGAGTCTCCACATGCCCATTGAGAATTGAGATAAAAACAAAATGAAATTGAAACTTTGTCATACTGACCTCACAACAGATTAAATAAACCAACACAGTAAAAAATAAAACAAATAAACTTTTTCATACAGACCTCACAGCAAACTCTGTAGCACCACTAACAAACTTGGCAGGATCAACAATGTAATTAGAAAAGCAGTTTTTGCATACCTTCCAATATTCTTGAAGCACTTGAAAGTTGTCAGTTCCACAAATCATGCACAGCTACACAAAATTTGCTGCAAATGATGGAACAGCTAATATCAAGATTCAGAAAACATTTTACATATTGAGAATGATGATCGATATTCTTATGACCTTATCTGAACTGCGATATTAAAAATATGCACAATTGCATGGAGAGGCAGAAACAAGAGTAGCTGAGAATGGGTCAAGATAGTGTGCACAATCATAAGTAGTCATTTCTACACTAAATGCAGGACATAAAACCTTGTGGTGTAATGATCATTAACTCTACAACAAAACGTAAAGAGAATTACAGAAATTTGAAATACACATTTTGTTGTCAATTTTAAAATGTTTTGGCTTATAAATTAGTTTGCATGTTAGAGTATGTTGATGCAGGAACTGCCTGAGCAACAATTCCAATGAGGCTGGAGACTTTTCAGGATAGCATACTCGAGTTTTGATTCTGTGAAGTCCATTCAACCTGCAAGCAAAGTGACACCTACTTAGATGCAAAACAAATGGGTGAGTACCAAACCAATGGTAATCCTGATCAACACAGCAACTGGTCTTGCAAATTCCATTGAGGCCCCTGCATGCAAATATCACAATACATAACAGAAACATAAATGGAATCTTCCAATTAGCACAAGAACAAGTTTGCGTAGACGCTCAACTGACAAGATAAGCAGAATTTCTAAAACCTGCAGTTCACATACAAACCAACAATAGTGTGCCAAACACAATCAGAAAATGATTCGAGCAAACATTTAATAAGACAAAACAAAGTTGGTTTATAATCAATGCTACAATAGCTTGTCACAAAAGAAGAATCTCACACCTCAGTAGACTTTTAGAGAAGCCATTTGCATTCTATTTCCAAAATCTCAAACTAGGGGAATAATCCACCTTCATCGATCAGAGATTTCAAACAGGCCAGGGACTTCTGCTTTGCAACAAAGAACAGACTTTTCCATGAACCTTAATGAGTAAAACTGGAAGACATTTTGTGTTGGGCACTGCATAGACCTTCCACAACATTACTACCATATGACACTAAAGGAATAATTCTATCACTGGACTGCACCTCAGTAGCCAAGGCTGGTGGTTGATGTAAGACAGCTTGTTGTCAAGGAAAAATGTGCTGAATCACTGCTCTCAGCTCCTGTTGAGAAATTCAAATGTGAGTTAGACCATCAGCTAAGCCCTTCTCATCCTCCTCTGATACCAAATAAAAGGGCTCATTTCCCTTCACACTCACCTGCTCTCAAAATATCAAGAAGTTCAGGAACCTTTTCTTTGTAAGGTAGAACAATCTTCTCCATGAATTTTGTATTTGATAATTTCACATAGTACAAAAACTTGCCTCGTCGAGTCCACAAGCCTTTCGTATTCAACGTCTCCAAGACACAAAACCGAGGAATTACCCTCTTCTGCAGACCATATAGCAAGATAGTTGGTTGGGAGGCGATGAAGGAAGGGGTGTACCCGACTATATTGATAAAAAATTCCATTTTCTGCGCATCATATCGAGGGACATGCGTAAGGAGGGTGCTTTCCTCACTGCAGAAGAAAACTCCGACTCCGACCACCCGAAGCTCCTTATGAGCTAGACCTTGGCCTCGAACCTTTCTTTGCTTACCATTTGGAGAACATCAAGTGTCCACACGAACATCCGAGATAAACGTGGCATCCCCAGCTCATCGGCTCTCGCCACCAAAACTCGGAGTGACTCTGGTTTCTGTGAGATTAATTGTGGGTGAGTTCTCAAGACGGAAGAGACCCTTTCTTCAGGGATACCGCACTCATCCCTTAAAGAACTTTAGGTTGGGATGCATCCTCTTCTCAACGCTGGAGCTGAGAAACCACATTTTCTTCTTGAGATGCTTGAGAACGAGCTCTCTCGATCCCAAGAGACTTTCCCATATCTCCAATTTGGGGGCCAAGGAACGGTGAACGTTGCGGCGGAGGATGTCATCGTTATTCCGGATGACATCGACGATGTCAGACTCCGATAGGCCCAAATCGCGTAAGAACTGAAACTTCGGGGCGAGGTTCGTCTCCACGTTGTAGCACAGGTAATTGGGTTCCCAAGATATCACCTTCCTGATAGCGGCGCCACCGAAGCCCTGAGATCTCATGAAGTTAAGGACGGCGTCGGGTTTCTCGGTGGATCGGAGGTGCGCAAGGGGTTTAGAGAACTTGGCTGCCCCGCGAGGAGGATGGGCCACGCCGGGATTTACAGTCCTTCCGAGATTGACTAGCCAATGGGCCACGCCGGGAAACATGGACCACATCGACAACATAAAGACTTGAAATAAGAAATAAAATGACATCCAAAATATTCTTAAGGAACCAGCGAATCGACTAACTCCAAGGGAATTAGCTCGATAAAGATGTTGGAGAAATTTAGCTGTGCAGCCTTCTGAAGGCTATCAAGTGGAGCAGAAGCTTCAGCTAAGGAACTCATATTGCTTTTCTAAACGAACCAAATAGATGACATCTTCTAATTTTCTTTGTGTTCAATAGTTTTAAATATTTTCTTCATTGATCTAACGTTCTACAAGATTAGATCTAGTTTGTCCTAGAAAATAATTAGTCTCAATTTCTTAAGGTGATCTAAAGTATTATTTCTACCTCGTGAAGCTTCGTCTCACTTCTTTTGACGCTCAAAATAGCTTCTTATAATATTAACAAGTGTTGAAAAATAAGATGCATTTTACGGTGTCAAGAAAGTTAGCACATAATGAGTGATAAGTATATATGAGGATTAAGTTTGTTTTAAAATACGTAAAACTTTCAAGTTAGTATTTGCTGAACATCTTTTAGAGGCATACGCTAATAGCATTATAACCATGAGTATCTCGAGCAATATGATTCATGTCTCGTATAATAAGTCAAAAGATAATCACTGAATATCTATTAGCCCTAAATAATGCAATGATATTATAAAAAAAGCACATCCTATGTTTTTTTTAATTATTACAGCATCTTTCTATATATACATCACGAGTCAAATAAAAATATATTATTTTATTAATATATAAATTTTAAATATTTATTATAATTTATTTATTCATCAAAATAAAAGTAAAAAATTAGGTCTTATTGAGAAAGATGTTAACTCAAAAATAAAATCCAACTAGCTCTACCTAGTGAAAGTGGTATGTTTGCTTTATATTAGAATTCGATTTAGTATTATTATGAGATTGTTTTGAAAATTAAAAATAAAGTAATAAAATTTTAATATGTTGAGTAGGAAACCTTATAAGTTAAATGTAACATAAATACATATCCAAAAGTCAATCAAGTCATTAGCGTATATCAAATGCTCAAATATGCACTCCTATAACAATAGATTGGAAAAACTTTATCATATAGGATAAGTTAATGTTTTCCTAATAGCAGATAGATACAAATACATATCAAATTTCCAATAGTAGATATTGTGATATCATTCACCTGCCAAAGTCGATACATATTCCTCTCAATAGTAGATAGTAGACAAAGGAACCATCTAATCGTCATGTCTAATAGTCTATTAATCTCCAAAGGGAATCACCCTATTTATCATCCATAAGAAAATAAAATTATCTCATAATAATTATGTCGATATTGAGATAAAATAACACATTAAAACATCTCAATCTATATTTTCAGTATCATTAATATTAAATAATATCAATTAGCTCTCAATTGATTTGAATCATGACTCGGACCAATTGAACTCGATTTAACTAAAATCGATATCTTATTTTTTAATCGATTTAAATCATCTATAATTTAGATTAAATTTTATTTAATATAGGTTAAATAAATTTAAATTATTTAAATCAATTTGAAATCCTCCTAAATAGATCTAAACTGATTAAATGTAATTTGATTCAGGATAATAAGTTAGATTATATAACACTAAGTTGGATTTAGCTAGCCTAAATCATATACACTGCATATGTTTGTGCATACATCATCAAATTATAGTCAAAATAGTTAATCATTAATATTGAGTCATTAAAATATAATAAATAATAATAGATCAAAAAGATAAAATTATATTAGGAAGAAAATAATGTTTTTATTCAACCATTATATAAATCTAATAGAAATCAAAGATTACAATTAGCATGCAAGATAAAAATATAAATTTATATATAGTATGAATAATTAAAATATATTATTAATTAAAAATAATTTTTAAATACTTAACAGCATGGAAGAAAATTTTATAAATTGTATATAGCATGAATGATTATAATATATTTTAATATAAAAATAAAATTTTAAGTACTTGAATGAATATAAGAAAATTTTAGAAACTGTACATAGTATAAATAATTGTAATACATCTCAATTCAAAAATATATTTTTTTAAAAAAACTTAAATATATAAAGAATATTTATTTTTTAAAAAATACAAGAGAACCTATTCTTATGTAAATTCTTGTTCCTCACACAGTAAAAAATGAAGGAGAGAATCCTCCCCGCCCTTCAAGGTAATAATTTTTATTTTTATTTACTTTATTGATAAAAAAAAATAAAATCACTTAACCTAAAATATTAAACATTTATTTTATAAATTTTATTCACTAGAAATAAAAAAATTAATTATACTGAAAGATTTGATTACAAATGAAACGGTCAAAATAGTATCTTCAGATCACTTTATCTATTTTTTTGATATAAATAATTTATCCTTTAATTTTGTA